TTCTGAGAGGGAAGGCCAGATGGGTGGGTCCGCGGGTAAGCGTACGAAGAACACTTGCCGAAACGACAAAGAGGCAGAAAGGCAAAATTTCAAAAGGGCAAAAAAAGTAAAATAAATAAATAAAAAAATAAATAAAAAAAAAGGGGGTAGTCAGTTTCTAGTATCATCTGGTTATGAATCCGTCCAGTTCCATTCATCAGCTTGGTCCTAACATCCCGAGGTGTTATTCCGTCGCTAGTGGTTTCGTCATATTCCCCTTTCATCTATTGGTAGGGAATCCGGGCCAGATACTGACGGGGAAGGGCGGAAGGGTGGGTCCGCGGGCAAGTGTATGGGGAACACTTCCTGAAACGACGAAGAGGCAGGGGGGCAAAATTTCCAAAGGGCCGGAAAAACAGACAAAATGACAAAAGGACAAAAAAAGGACAAAAAAAGGACAAAAAGGAAGACAAAAGGACAAGAAGACCGAAGAGCACATTTCCTTTCCCGAATCCATCCCGGGTCCATCTGGGGGTCGAGTGCTTACCCCTTGGTCGTTTGTGCCCAAGGTGGGCCTACTTAGGCCTGAATCCTCATCCTGAACGTTAGGGGGGCCCTGGCGGGTATTGTTGGCTTCTATCTGTGTCCAGTGCTCATCCTGTCCATGCGTATGCGTACATGTGTGTGTGTGTGTGTGTGTGTGTGTGTGTGTGTGTGTGTGTGTGTGTGTGTGTGTGTGTGNGACATATGCAGCAGCACTGCGCCTTCGCCGTCACTTTCGTGAGTTTGGACGCAGATAGCTGTTGGTGATAAACCTGCCGCCAGGTTGGTTGATGGAATGCGTTATAGAGAGAGGAAGATTCTATTCTCAGTCCCGTTGTTGAGTGTCCATCATCTAGCTTACCTGGGACACGTGTGCAGCCGACAATCCACGCAGGGCCTCCGTCATCTAGCTTACCTGGGACACTTGCCGAATGCACCTGCGCAGGAAAGCTTCCAAATGCGTGCCCTCTGCTATTTCCACGTTACTCCTTGCTATGTTGATGTAAGCCTTGGGCACTGGGCCCGTTTGAAATAAAATTCCTAGGTTAAAAAGAAAAAAAGAAAAAAAGATGGCGATGTATCTTTCCATGTTCTAACGAAGGATTCAGTCTCATTTTGCACGTTCCGAGAGTACCACCCCAACTCCTCACCGCAGCGCAGACCTGAATCGAAAAAGGCTGAAACGCGCTGCGCACCTGTCCGCCTGCACAGATAAGATACACACAACACAAAAACAAAAAACAGAAAAAAACTGACCATCTTTTGGGCCTCGCAGCAATGAATGACCCCAACATTTCTAAATTAGATCCGGGCCGTCGATCTCCCTATCAACGCACAGTCAGATAAACCTTCCCTCACTTTCCTATACCGGACACGACACTATGTCCGGTCGGTCTCCAGCGACCACTCGTCCTCCGCCGCGACCGCCGCCACGTTACCTCCCAGAACGACTGGTCCGTCTCCAGTGGGCGACTGTGACGTCCTGTGTACCCACTTATACCCACTTACACCTGTTTGAAATCCACCCCACAACATAGTGAATATGTTGTGAATGCACCTGGACAACCTGGCCGCCTCGCTGCATCCGACGAGGTCGTCCACATTCCCCAAATGGAAACACGGACGCTAAACGACAAAACACCACAAAACGCGACCCCCGTATACGCAGCCATTCCTGGCTGCGAACAAACGAAGCTTCCGCACCAGACATCCGGCCTATAAGGGCCCAGGCAGGCTGAAATTCGCAGTGAGATTACCTTCCAGGACCTGGTGGATCCTTTTGGCGCTCCTATGTACAGGGCTAGCGATTCCCGTTGACGTCCTCTCAGACAATAGGAAATCCACAGCATCTGGTCCTGCCTTGACCGGCAAGAGGCATGGGACGCTCGTTGGCAGCCTCAGTGGTATGTGTCCCTGGGGACGCCTCTGCGTCTTCTCCACCTCCCACTCACCGAGACCCTCGCGCACGTGGGATCGACGCCCCCCTTTCCATGTTTTTGGGGAAGATACATGCTCCATTTTGCACATTCCAGGCGTGGCGCGGCGAGGCCCAAAAGGGGGCGTCGATCCCACGTGCGCGAGGGTCTCGGTGACGGCTATCTGGTCGGATTGCGTAACGGGATCGGGATGCGGGTCTTTGATAGCAGAACCTACCAGTCGGTGGCAACGTTGGAGAGCGGTTCTGAGCGGGGTCGGCAGACCGGCTCTCGCCGCTTTGAGGACCCGTTGGTCATCAAACAGGTCGATGATCTTAGGCAGCGTGTGTCATCAGACACGGCATGCCGACCGGTCTTCGGTCCCGTGGAGGACCGGTCGGTCAGAAGACGGGCGGATGATCTTAGATGATCTTAGCCAGTGTCGTTAGACAGGGCGTGCTGACCGGTTCTTGGTCGTCGTTAGACAGGGCGTGCAGACCGGTTCTTGGTCCCTGTGAGGACCGGTCGGTGATCAGACAGCCCGATGATCCAGTGTCATCAGGCAGGGCGTGCAGAGGGGTTCTGTGTCCCTCGGAGGACCGGTCGGTGATTAGACAGCCTGATTATCTTAGCCAGAGTCATCAGGCAGGGCGTGCCGACCGGTCCTCGGTTCTTCGGAGGATCAGTCGGTCACCACACAGGTCGGTGATCATACCCACTCTCATCAGACAAGGCGTCGGGGTCTGATGATGTCCTCCCTATGGGCCTCTCACACGTGCATACGAAGCGTAACGACGAATGCATCTTTCCATATTCTGTGGAGAGATGCACTCGTCTATTTTTCGCTTTGTGTGGCGTGTGGCGAGGCCCAATTTTTTTGTGCGGAAGCGACGACACGGATGCACATGGGGCAAGGAGTACAAAAAAGAAAAGAAAAAAAAACACACGGAAGGAAAAAGGCAGAGGAGGAGGAGGAGGAGGCTGAAGAGAGAGAAGCCGGCTATGGGAGGCGGAGGCTGAAGAGGAAGAAGCCGACCATCGTAGGAGGAAGAGGCGGAGGGGTGGCGGTCAAGCAGTGGAAGGTGGAGCAGATCAGGAAGGAGGGAACACAGTGAAAGGAAGACGACGAACTGAGCAGTATTAGAGGCTACTGACTGCCTGACTGGCTCTGGAGGAAGAAGCTTACCACAGGCTGGCTATGGAGGAAGAAGCTTAGTATAGGCTGGCTATGGAGGAAGAAGCTTAGCACAGGCTGGCTATGGAGGAAGAAGCTTAGCACAGGCTGACTATGGAGGAAGAAGCACAGCAGGAGAGTAAGTGGCAGGAGGAGAACGGAGGGGAACGAGGAGGAGGAGAGAGGGGGGAGTGAGTGATGAAAGCGATGAGCATTCACTTTCATGCATTGTGATTTTTCGGTCTCGGTGGTACTAGGTGTATGTATATATATTTGTCTCATAGAGATCTACATTCCGACATTCAGATCTTGGTATGTATATATTTGACTATGTATATATATATGAGTCGGTGAAACTCCGACGAAACAGTTTGTCACAGCCCCTCGTTTGTTGTCCTCTTCTCTCTCTCTGCCTACGGTTTACCGGGCAGTTCTGTTTGTGACGATATATACGTATATCTATATAGATATATGTAGCCTCCTGATGAGTCGGTGAACCTCCGACGAAACAGTCTGTCACAGCCGCTCCCTCATTTGGTGTCCTCTTGTCCCTCTCTGCCTACGGCTTACCGTAGGCAACTCTGTTTGTATATATATATCTGTCTATATATTTGTAAATTGTGCAAGCGTCTATATATGTATCTATATATCTATATGTACATGCACCGACAGAGTAGAAACACCTTCTGAGTAGAAACATCTACAGAGTAGAAGCGCCTACTGAGCAGAAATCTGTGCGGTAATTGCAGACAGAAAGGGAGAAAAGGACAAGAAACGAGGGACTGTGACCGACTGTTTCGCATATCTATCTATCTATCTATCTATCTATCTATATCGTCAAAACAGAGCTGTATATATTATATATATGTATATATGTGTTTGACGATATGTATGTGCATATAAATCAAATGTATTTATTATAGATGTATACAGATTTATATGACCCCCGAGATTATCGGAATCGATATCGGGATACCGATCGCTATCGTACACACAGGTACATTGTCTTTGTCTTCACCTACCGTAGTTTTTATTTGGCTAACATCTCAGCGTAGATTTTTTTTCTCCCCCCCCCCCCCCTGTTTTTCAGTTTCCCTCAGCCGTACTACGGAGTTTTTGTCGGGAGCGCCCCCACCCCGCCGGAAAAAAAAAAAAAAAAAAAAAAAGTTTCTCTCGAGAGTTTTATTGTGGTCAATTCAAGAGTTATTCGGACTGGTGTTAGTTCACAGACAATGTCTTTACTGAGTTAACTTCGTTAATACAAGTTCTTTCCACGAACGTGGGATTTTTTTTTTTTTTTTTTTTTTCCCCTTTCGGTTTTCACCTGCCGTAGCGAAATGTGATCTCGATTTAGATTGATTAGCTGGTGGACGCACAGAATCTTTTTTTTTTTTTTTTTTTTTTGCTTTTTTTTTCCCTCTTCCTCCTTCCCTGACTGATGTCACAGGGGCCGTGTGGCTATACATGTGAAATTAGCTCAATTAGTGACTACTTCAAATAACTACGTGAATGTATACACCCACGTGAATGTATACAAGCTATAAGGCCGGTCAAATACAGTAGTAGTAAGGGTGCGTTGTGCTCGGGGGGAACACGATGGTAGTGATTCTTCACTGGAGTACTAAGCAATAACTAGCATCTTACAAAGAACGGCATTATAGTGGTTTATCTATCGAAGTATCGGACCTCAATCACGGCCAGATTCAGACAAGTGTATGAGTAGTATACTTCCAGTGTTATCTGGAGTTTTGACACGTCATCACCACACAAGTCCCGCACAAGTATCTGACCTCGATCGCGGGCGGATTCACGCGACAAGGATAGGAGCAAATACCCCTCTGACAACGGCCTTATAGCGGTGTTATATAGCGGAAGTATCGCACCTCAATCACGGCCAGATTCAGACAAGTTTATGAGCATGCCCGAGTGTGCTATCTAGAGTTCGACACTTCATAACGACACAAGTCCCACGCAAGTATATGACCTCAATCGCGGCCAGATTCGGGCAACTACCTGAGTGTGCCCAGTGTTATCTATAGCCAATAGAAAGCACCTGCTGCAGAACGCGCTGTGATCAGCTGCCACGTGGACGACGGGCACAAGGAGAATATGTTGACGTCAGCAGAGTGGCGGAGGTGATGTTAGAGGCCTGCAGCGCATTGGGGCGGGAGAAAAAAGGAGAGGAGCTTCTTCTTTCGTCACGACACGTGTCTCTTGCTTCCATCAGGTGCTTTTCAGCCCCACTCAATCGCTCTACTATGCTTCTCCTTTTACCTGCACAACTCTCTCTCTCTCTCTCTCTCTTGTTCTCTCTCTCTCTCCCTCTCTCTCTTGTTCTCTCTCTCTCTCTCTCTCTTGTTCTCTCTCTCTCTCTCCCTCTCTCTCTCTCTCTCTTTCTCTCTCTCTCTCTTTCTCTCTCTGTTTCTCTGTTTCTCTCTCTCTCTCTCTCCCCCCCACTGACTCTATCTGTCTGTCTCTCTGTCTCTCTCCCAGTGACTCTCTCTCTCTTTCTCTCTCTCTCGCTCTCTCTCTGCTGTTTTGTTGAACCATCAATGTGGAGGAGTTACTAGATGATTAACGACTTTGAAGTCCAGGTAAGCAATTTTCCGGCTAAGCATTTATTATTATTATTATTATTTTTTATTTATTTATTTATTATTATTTTATTATTATTATTATTATTATTTTATTATTATTATTATTATTATTTTTAATCGATATATTGTGATCGCCTCACGTTGTCGAACTTGAAAAATTATTTTAGATCGCTTTTTTGTCGGTCGGGGGTTCACCACCGTCTTCACCCGAATAAGAACGCCCGGTCGTTATCAATGTATCTGGACCGCAGCTTGGCCCAAATACAGCTATAGAATGACTGGGCGTTCTATTCTGTTGAAGACGGTAGTGAATAGTGTCAAAACCTCAATCAGCTCTTCACGATGGCACAGGACTGTCTTTTTTTTTTTTTTTTTTTTTTTTTTTTTTTTTTTTTTTACAGAGCAATGCGTCAAGTCACTTGACGATATTCATCAGTATTTATTCCTTTTCTTTTTTTCCCTTTTTAGTAGTGTGTTGGGTACAAAACGAAACGAAACAAAAACAAGCGGTCTATAGCTTTGTCTTGTCTTTAGGTCTTGCTTGTTGGATTGTCCATGGCAATCAATCAGCTGATTGCTTGTTGATTGCCGATAGCAATCAATCAGCTGATTGCTTGTTGATTAGTGCTATCGCAATCAATCAGCTGATTGATTCGGTTCTTAGTTGTTGCCTTTTTACCACTTCAGCTGATTGATTGGTCATGGCACTCAAATCAGCTGAATCGGAGTGACAGGTCATGGCAATCAATCAATCAATCAATCAATCAGCTGAGTGATTGATTGGTGATGACAAACAAGCAGAGCTTAGGGAGTGGTCATGGCAATCAATCAAGCAGCTGAATCACAGATTGATTGGTTCAGCTGATTGATGTGTCATTCCTGTCCCTGACAAATAATCAGCTGCGGCTGATGAATTCGTCATGACAATCAATCAATCAATCAATCAATCAATCAGCTGGATCCGATTGATTGGTCATGACAACTAATCATTGGTCATGGCAATCCATATGTCTGATTGATTGATTGATTGATTCAGCTGATTTATTCCCGTGACCAATCAATATTTCGCCAATGACCAATCAATCAGCTGAAGTAGCAAAATTCTGCCGGCGGCTCGTAAAGGAACTGCCAGACACCTCTGCTCTTCGGTATATACTTAACGGCGATTTGACGGTGGGAGTGGAGGCGGAAGCCATCGCTTGGCTCTCTCTCTCTCTCACTCTCTCTCTCTCTCTCTCTCTCTCTCTCTCGGTGGTCATCTGTTGTATCTTTCTGAGAGTTATGTCGAAATTGCTCTTCCAAATTCATTGCCGTGTTCGCAATCTAAATTCTGCACATTTTTGTTGTTATCGTCAACTTTTGTGGGTTCGATTGAGTCAGTCACTCTCTCTCATATCTCATCTTCTGCATCATCAGCTCGTGACGATTGTTGAAGTTTTTGCACATTTTTTTTCCCCCCCCCGGTACTCGTGTGTTTTTTTCCCTCGTAATTCATCAGCTCGTGACGATTGTTGAATTTTGTACATTTTTGTTGATGTCTGTGTTTGTTTTGTTTTTTTTTCCCCCCACGTAATTCATCAGCTCGTGACGTTTGTTGAATTTTGGACATTTTTGTTGTTGTCGTCAACTCTGTGTTTTCTTTCTTTTTCTCATAGTCGTGTTTTTTTTTTTTTCCTTAACTTTTTGTTGTTCTCGTTAATTCATCAGCTCGTGACGTTTGTTGA